GCCTTTGGGGGAACAGACGAACAAAGCACCGCGCCGCCGCGTGGTCCCCCCCTCCAACGACGTAAGCAAACCAGCCCTTTTGGCGCTTCGACTGGGACCGTATGCTGAATGTTGGGGAGGGGATGGAGTCCCCGACGGTGGACGGACCACTTCAACTCGGTCCTTAGAACCGCCACAATTTGGTGCTTACCTCAGAACTAAGCCTTAGAGAGAAAACGGGTCCGTCCCCTCTCGAAGGCTTAGTCCTGGGGTGAGCAAACCAGCCCTTTTGGCGCTTCGGCTGGGACCGTATGCTGAATGTTGGGGAGGGGATGGAGTCCCGACGGTGGACGGACCACTTCAACTCGGTCCTTAGAACCGCCACAATTTGGTGCTTACCTCAGAACTAAGCCTAAAGAGAGGACGGGTCCGTCCCTCTCCAAGGCTTAGTCCTAGCAAACCAGCCCTTTTGGCGCTTCGGCTGGGACCGTATGCTGAATGTTGGGGAGGGGATGGAGTCCCCGACGGTGGACGGACCACTTCAACTCGGTCCTTAGAACCGCCACAATTTGGTGCTTACCTCAGAACTAAGCCTTAAAGAGAGGACGGGTCCGTCCCTCTCCAAGGCTTAGTCCTAGCAAACCAGCCCTTTTGGCGCTTCGGCTGGGACCGTATGCTGAATGTTGGGGAGGGGATGGAGTCCCCGACGGTGGACGGACCACTTCAACTCGGTCCTTAGAACCGCCACAATTTGGTGCTTACCTCAGAACTAAGCCTTAAAGAGAGGACGGGTCCGTCCCCTCTCCAAGGCTTAGTCCTGGGGTGAGCAAACCAGCCCTTCTGGCGGAGCTGCTGGACCAGCTGCACCACTTGCGTCAGTACTCTCCTATCGTACCAACCGAGTTGAAGTAAACCGTCGACCGTTGGGGACCCCATCCCCTCCCCAACATTCAGCATACGGTCCCAGCCGAAACGCCAAAAGGGCTGGTTTGCTTACCTCCTGAGTCATGTGTTGATTTCAGTTGAGATGACCGGCTATTCGAAAATGGGAATCCAGTGGAATGTCACAGCTGCACGGTTCCGCCGCCAGCTGTTGACCTTGCTTGGTTCACTTATTTGAACCCAGAAATTGAATAATGAATCCGGGCCAATCCTTCTGAGATCCATTACAAGCTTATCTCTCATCTTATCAAACTCGCAGAGGCTTTTGAATTTTTTTGCAGTGCAACCGTGAGGTGCCAAGATAGTCTACCGTCCGTTGAGCCATGCTCATAAGAGGGTCCTATTTTGAAATCTGGTAAATCTGGATAAGGTGAGCCGAAGGAGGAACTTCGTCATGTGCGGTAGAACTAGCTATTCGCATCATGCAGCATTGGATGCATTGTTTACCCCGTTGAACAGCCTCTTTTTAGGATGCGCCCCCACTTCACTTCCTCTCACAATTGTGGAGGTACAGTCATACAGTCACAGTTAATACAGTTCGACCCAGACAAAGACTTGCGGGAGCCACTTAGCTCTACCAGGAACTGCTTCTCTCCGAGATTTCATTCCTTTTGCCCAGAACTCTGCGCCTTTAGTCGTCTATGACCACCCACAACACATACGTACGAGTAGTGAGTGAAGGGCTTCCCAATGAGTAAATAACTTTTCCGTGGACAAGTTTTGTATGAATTCACCACAATAAAAGAAAAACTAAAAAAGAGGTGTAGTGAAAATTCTGTGAGATCTAGAAAACCTTTGCCAAATCAAAAAATATTCGATCTGGGGGTCATGTGGGTGATTAATTATAACTATGATTCTTTACTGCGTAAAAATAAACACAAACTAGTTCGAAAAAAGTGCACTAGCGAAAAATGTGTAACAAAATTCTAAAGAGCGCCCCTCCATGCCCCATGAGACCTGCAAGGTGTGACACGCATGCGCGTCAGCGTGTCCTCAATGAAATGGATGGAGTGGTACTATGGATGCCCAAACGCTTGCACAAAGATGACGGTCACAGTAGAGAATTTTTTAAATAAATAGGTCAAAAATCACAAAAATACTCAGTAGTAATTCAGGTAAATTTGAGATTTCCTTGATGGCCCAAAAAAATGGTAAGCCTTGCTGCCCCGGTGCCCGCTCTTGCCGCACATGGTGAATCAGTTTTGGTGCGGCAACGTCAAGAAGGACCCTGGACCCATAGCCAAATTCCCTTGATATGTGACTTACAACGCTACCCACTGCGTAAGCAAGCTGATACCTAAGCTAATGCTTCTGCACTTGTCGTTACACACATCTATGTATTCTTCCATTATAAAAATTATTGCGAAATTCTTCTAATCCTAAGGTGAGCCAGATTTCCACTTTAGGCGCTAATCTATCTTCTAACAAAATTTAAGTGAAACTGAATTAGGATTTAATGCCTCTGGACAGAATTATTTAAACAGTAACGCTGCCCGGAGGGCAGCGCGGACGTCTTCAAACGTCATTGGTGGATTTAACTTCCAGCGCGCTGGTGTACGCGTATGCGACGGGCCGCGGACGCTAGCGAGTCCTTGATTCGCAAAGTCTGACATCGGCCTAACGCACTTCCACCAGTAAGCTTAAATGACGTCACTGAAACCGCCCTCCATCCGTCGTAACCAATGCCTTCAAAGTTCTCTAAAACTTTTCCGTTCGCTTCCGCCCAACATGTGACAGAAGTTATTAAGTCAAGCATTTAAGCAAAATTACTTCAGATGATGTCGTCGCTGAACGCGATACAAAGTCTAGCTGAACTTCAAGCGAAATTCCGCCCAGAGGCACTGATGTCTTTTGATACCGAATCGGTACAGCCAACGATGCGAGATGGTTGCGATTCATCAGGTTAGTAAGTTTGATGATTGATTGGGAGTTCAACATGCCCTTGAATCCAGGGTATAGTTTGCTTTCCGTGGACCGCACATATCGTTATTGCAGACTTAGAAGAACTCTAGGCAACAGATAGCATCAAAAGCTTCAAAGACCACATGAAATATCGAGTACTTAAAGACAATAACCAAGTGTGTCACTAAGTCTGAATCACGACGAGCGCACCTGCCGCGAGATGAATATAGAAAAGGCTACTTTGTTGATCATTCAACAACACTTAAAACTAAAAGGTCAAAATCGGCCATGATTATAATCGATCCGCTCCACGGTCTCGCGGAAGTTTGGGGGGGGGGGCGGGGTTGGAGCATTGCTACGCAGTCGTTCTTGAAAGAATGGTGTGCTATGTCGAATGACAAGCGGTAGGCAACTCAGTTGGGGCGCTGATATTGAAACTGAGGTGCATTTTGCAGCAGCATTTTGCTGATTATGGTACCGCTCTTGCACAGTGCACACTACGATCACCTGCCAGCTGTTGTGCCGTCGTTCATCGTCCGCGAGCGGGCGCCAGTGATGTCTACATTCGTCGCTGACGCGTGCTAGGGTAACCCAGTAAATCCCTTTTTGCTTTGGGGCTACGAAGGTCATGTTTCGTTTGAAGCTCCCGTGAAGAAGTCTGCCCATTGAGTCGTCGGTTGACTTGGTGTTCATTTGACGACCCAAGAAATCCACTCGTTGATAACGCTGGTCCAACGGCTATCTCAAAGCCGCATGAGCGCGTCAGCCACAGCTGATCTGGCGATATGTGCAGCATCCTCAATCTTCTTCGATCGCTGACGGAGTTTGAGGATTCCAGGCTGTA